AAAATAAAGATTGTTATTAAATCTTTGAATAAGAAATATGGAGCAAAAGGTAATCTGTCATAATTACCTGATACACCTAAAGGGTTACTTGACCCTGCTGTATCGTGAAGTGCTATTAAATGCATTAAAGCTAATGCAGCTAATACAAAAGGTAATACAAAATGTAGTGCAAAAAATCTATTTAATGTTGCATTATTTACAGAGCATTAATGTTGGTAACTTCATTTGAAATAAACTATCGTTACACTCAATAAATTTCTTTATTGATCGGACTATATCATGATCTCTAGGTTATTCTTAGTAATTTGAAGGTATTTTAATTTTTTCTGAGTATCTAGGTATTGTACGTAATTGTTTTATTCATAATAAATATTGTAATTTCTTATGCCCTAATAATTTTACCGGTGCATTTTGTAAAAATTTCACTACATTTTCTATTGATCTTACACCTGTAACTTTTAATTTGGAACAATTAGTTATATCTAGGTATATAGCATTAGTAAAAGATAAATACTCTCGAATAGCAGATATTAAAATATCTCCATCTCTTTGAGCAATATCGAAACTAGCTACTAAGTAATCTTTATCTTTAGATAACTTATAAAGACTAAAACAACCTTCAGCCTCTATAAACCCTACTAATCAAGCAGAAAAATAAGAAGTACTTATAATAGATTCTATACAATTTATAGGTTTACTACTTCTAGTATATTTAGGTAAATCATCTGAAAATATAATACCTGATAGCAAAGCGTTCCTAAATCTTAAGTAATCATATTGTTTATTAGAAAACATAGGGTATTTATCAAAAATAGGTAAAATAAAATTTTTCAAGTGGTCTTTATTTCTAATTCTTAAAGATACCATTTCAATTTCTTTTCTTTTTCTGAAACTTACAACACCTACACCTAATAAACTTTTAATTTTATATATTAATTGAATGTCTCTTATTGACAATTCAATACCCAGTTCGTATGTTAAATATTTACCTTTTTTTGCAATACAAAAAAAACCATCCCCTTCAAATAAACCTACTAAATAAGCATAGGTAAGATCTCCTGCGTGTAGTCTCTGAGAGGCTTCCGAAGTATGTAAACTTCTCACCCCTGCTGATTGTCTCCATGTCATTGCAATTTTTACGTAAATAATAGATATGAAAATCAAGAATAATTCGTATGCAAATCCTAGATTGGGAGATTTCCCAGCATTAAGCAGGATTTTTAACACTACGTCACCGCAATGTGGTTCATCTGTGTATAAACCTCCTCAAATGACAAGGTAATTTTATACAATATTTAAATTATACTTTATATCCTTTCAGATACAATTAGACTATATCTTGAATTTTATATAATGCGTTGCTATATAACTAACGCTATAAAATCCTGGGGTTGTCGTGTTGAGCTTATTGTTAGTTTAACTCACTCATTAGTCGTTGAACGTCCTTAATCCCTTTAAATTAACCGAATTAAGTTCCGCTACAAATAATTTAATAACTAGGAGGTAAGATATGTTATTAAATGTCCTTGTAATTTTCCCCATTTGCCACTAAAAATAATTCTTTTTATTTTTAAGGAGCCCATTTTACAGTTTTGGATAATGTAATTTACTATAACGTGTAGAATTTTGTAAATTATTTAATCATTTTATATATTGAATGTACTTTAATCCAATTAATTTTTATTTATTGCCAAGATTATTTTCTAAAGATATTTATTTCGTACCTTCCTTTAAATGGTTTAGTGTAATTTTTACTTAATTTAAGGTTCTCATATTTAACAATTTTATCACCATAACTTCCTATACCTTTGGCAGCTTTTCTTATTGAACTATATTCCGTAAAAACCTTAGTTTCTAAGTCAAGGATGGTTACTTTAATACCATTCTTTTCAGCTAAAACCTTTTTATTTAAAGTTACCAAATGCTCCTTTAGTTTAGCTCTAGTAGCCTCGCTATGTTTAGCTCCTATTCTGGCAGCTTTTATTTTAGCTTTAACACTTTCTGAAAGAACACGTCCAGTTAAAGCTGCTCTAATTTTAGCCTTAGTCTCATCTAAAACTTTAAACCCAGTTCGGGATCCGGCAATTTTTAATATATTATATTCAGGTTTTAATGCATCAAGATAAAATTGTTCTCTTTCAATAACATCTTCACTATTACAAAATTCTAGTATCTCTAGTCTGAATTCGAGGTGTCCATATTTAATAAGGGATTTATAAATTATACTACGTTTAGCTTGATTTTCTATTAATTTTAAAGAAAAATAGCTAGAAAAACGTCGTCCTAAATCTATACTAGAGCCAATATACATTTTCCCTGATTTAATATGTACCCATCTATAAACTCCTGATTTTTTTCTATTGCTTTTAATGGCAATTTTTTTATTTTCATGAGCGTTATCATAAATAACTACAGGAGTAACCTTAATACTAGAATTTGAAATACCTGAACCTAAACCTACCTCCGAGCTGTAACATCGCAATTGAAAAATATTATTTAATACTAAGCTTTTTTTTCATATATTTCTATATTTCATGTTTTTTTTTTAATTAATCTACCTTCGTAAAGGAAAAATGCCAAAAAACTCAGACTTGAACTGAGACTTTGAGGGTTGAATCCTCCTATTTTACCCATTTGAACTATACTCTTATAAAAGTATATATATATATTACTATATATTACTATATATTTTTTACAGAGTGTCCTTCTAATGAATGTAACCCTTAAAGAAGCCATCATATTTTTACTATTTTGTATTACGATCCGTTTCAATTGTTGAACTAAACCTATATTATTTGAGACATATGCTTTAACTGTGTATGTAGAATAGCGTCTAACCTTTTTCACCTCTAACCTTTTCACGTCTAACATTTTCACGTTTAACCTTTTCTTGCTGTTTTAAGGTTTGCTTAAAAAAATGAAAATCCTTCCTTCTAGAAAAAATTTTTCTAAATTCTCTTTTTACTCTTTTATAAGTAAGAGGTTTCTCTTTGACAAACTGAACAACGCCAGGGTATAGTGAAGGACATAAATATCCTATAAGTCAATATTTAAAAATTAATGGATGCAAGCCATCGAAAGAAAAGAAATTTATAACTGTTTGAATATTAGATTTAGAACTAACACCAAACTGATGAAAATTATTTGTAGTGTCTATCTTTCTAGTAGTGTTAAACACTAATTTAAAAGCTTCTAATAAATTTGTATGTATTCTTTGTTTTAACTGAAAACAACCATCATTATTGCTTTTAATAAAAAAAGAACCCTCTGAGCACGTGAACCCTACAATTCAATTTTTAAAGAAATGTAGTAATGTGTAACTCTTTGCATCTTCCGGTAATTTAAATACTTCTTCAATATTGTCTCTTGATGGTATTTCATCATACATTTTTATATCCTTTTTAAGGATATGCATAGCTAGATTAAATTGATTAATTCTAGTTTCAGTTAAAAAGAATATATTATTATGTATTAATAGAGGAAAGAATATTTCCTGTAATTCAGTTCTATTTATTACTAATTTACAACATGGACTTCTTAAATCTTTATATACATTTATTTTACCCAATTTTAAAGTAGAATGAATGTATTCTAAAGTAGAAATATCTTCTATATGTAAAGAAATTATTAACTTAATTGTTATAAATCCTTTAGTTGTTTTGGTAATTTGGATATAACCGTCTCCATCTATTAATCCAGCTAAAAATGCTAAAAAAGATGTAGGTATGGTAACATAATCTTTTTTATCCACTAATTTATTCATTTTCTTTAAAGCGTTTTTATGTACATTACCTATTGTAGGTAATATTGAATATAAAAAAATAATAAAAGCCAAAACTGTAATTTTTATTGACTCAACTATATCTTGTCCTATTCATGGAATAGCACTTATAAGATTTGTAATAACTGTAGCCAAATCTTTAATCTGCTTACTCTAGCTGTATTATTTAGCTTTTCATGTTTAAAATAAGCAAACCCT